AAAACCAAAGTTTGTGTTGTTAACTTGCTTGCTGCCACTTTTGGCGACCGAGAGATCAAGGGTTTTAGAGAAAGAGGTGAATGAAACATAGGTATCAAAAACTGTGTTCAGCCACCTCAACCCTTTGACGCCAAAGTAGCCAAAACGGCTACTTAATGGCCGTGCTCTTTGTACCACTTGTGACGTCATCAATTTAAATGTGGCCACATATTCTTGATAAGCAGATGGTAGAGCTAGGATAGATCTATCTGTACAATATCGCCGATATCGACGGCATTCTGACGTAGCAAATTGCAAAACAACGTTATCAGTTTTGGTGCAAAAATGGTCGTAAAATGGCCCATTATACCTATAATTGATCAAGGTCCCATTTCCAGGCTTTTCCCATAATTAACACCCAACTTTTAGGGCAGCCAGAGAGAATATGAAACGGAAAAGGTAGCGAGAGTAAAAGAGCCGAGAAAAAGGAAAGGAAAAGGGCAATAAAAAAGTTCGGAACGGGCAATCCATATTTTGGCTTATGCGCATGCTCCAAACTAAAATATTCTACATTTTTATACTTAATCTTGGGGAAATCTATCTGTTTGGTAAAAATAGCTTGTTGAGCCAAACTGAGGCCCATTTAGCGTCATGGCAGCCAAAAACCTGGTTAAAAACGGCATTTTTTGGTGTACATTTGGTCGGCAGTTATCCATTTTGCGAATACGTGGTTATATTTGTGTTGTGGGCATCCTTGCTACCTTACGCTTATGCTTGTTATTATGTCGTAGTGAAAACCAGGCTTAAGCGGGACGCTCCATAATTATTAAAAGCAAAAATTAGTTGAAGAGATCGCCTGGAATTGATTATTTACTTGGTTGAAAACTGCGTTTTTAAGCTTCTAGATGTAACTAAATGTTGTAAAGAGCTTTTTAAAAGTTTCAGTCAACAAAACCTTCCAGTAGTTCGGGGTATTTACTTCCCTTTTTTCTCCACTTTCGTTACACTAACTAAACGGTTGTATGTGATAGGTTCATGTTCGTTGAATTCGCTTAATTCCTTCTCCAGTTGTTTTACTCTCTCCTCGATTTGCTCATCCGTTAGATGGTTTAACTCACTCGAATAACGCCTTCGTAGCGAGTCACACAAGTTGGATTTTGTCATCGCCTCCGTAAATGTGACCTCGTGCTCGGAGATTCGGATGTCGGCACTGTCAATTTCTCTGAGTAGCTTCTGGCTGTCGTTTACCACATCAAAATAAGTGCCGAAAACCTTTGTAGAGTTTTTGAAAATTGGATTTCCATCCTTCATTGTAATAAGCTGAAGGAAAATCCCACCAGGGCGAAGAGAGCGTATTATGCCCTTGTATACATCAACCGGGTCAGCAAAGTGATGTACGCTGAAAACTGCTACTACTCTATCGAAGCACTGGCTGAGTTTTGGACCTGAAAAGAATTCTTCCGCCGTTTTCTGAACGGGGTAGACCCCTTTCCTTTTGCGGGCTAGTTCTTGCATTTCTACGCTGGGATCCACGCACCAAACAGGGTTCTCTAACCCCGACAATTTACAGAGACTTTCTGCGATAAAACCTGATCCACTACCGATGTCTACCACATTGTGTTGCGGCCTCAAATCTAAATATTCAATCAGGACTGGAATTACAGCCTCATAAGTTGCCTTGTAGAAGCTGTCGTACGTATTAGCCACAGAACTATAGTGATCTGAAAATAAAGAATTGATTTAATAAAAAAAAAAAAGTGGCGAGACAATCTCAGATAGTGCAGAGTGCAATTTGCCGCTCTGATACCGTAGTCACACAGGTCCTCAACCCTGCCGTTCTCTCCTTGGTAGTCAACTAAGCCTTTCCCCCTTTGCAGAGTATGAGCGGATAAAATCTTAAAAAAGGTTAAGTCTGCATACCAGCCAAGTGGCCGATGAGGCCGGAGCTTATCCCGGTTTCTGTAGCATGAAGCCGCTATGAGTATTTCTACTCCCCCCTGGATGGGATGCTAGTCCATCGCAGGTTACCCCCAGCATTAAGTTCGCCGGTACCCACTTTTACACCTGGGTGGAGAGAGGCACTGTGAGGGTAAAGTTTCTTGCCCAAGAACACAACACAATGTCCCCGGCCAGGGTCCCGTTTCTCGAAGGTCCCGAAAAGTTTTTGCACCCGGAAAGCCATAGCAAAATC